TGGAATGATGCCGTTCTCAAGGTGAAGTTTTATTTTCTCCTGACTCCAGGATTTATAGTGAGGCTGGTTGGAGAGGATGGGTAGAGCGATTTTGATGGCCACTACCTTCCAGACCTGGTAGACTAGACTGGGGGGACTCTGGAAGTGATCGATGGCACTACGTAGAGCAGACCCTGGGATGAACAAAGTTTCCACAGCTGTTTCTGCCACAGCCCTGGTAGACAAAGGCAGGATGCTTATCAACCCAATCAGTCCTAAGGAATGTCCAATGGTCAGGAACTCTTCACAATGATCCTGGCTCTCAAAATACTTGAAGGTTTCCACATTGGGGAGGGCTTCAGAGCGAGTAGAGCGATGGACTATCCCGCTCACCCTGACGATGCCACTCTTGATGATGTGCACTCCTCTAGGCCTGGTATCAAGCTCGTGGATCACAGCGTTGGCCTTGAAGGTGTGGAAAACCAGGAGTGGCTTGAGGTAGTTGACTGCTGTAGTACTGGGGAGCCAGACCATTTGGGACAGCAACTGGTCAACTCCTGGCTTCACACTCGACACAGTAGATGGGGTAAACTTCAGGAAGTGGATTGGCCTCTCCAGCAACTGGAATATCATATTATACACAGTCTTATCAATTAGCCCTTGGTTCTTCCTTTCCACAAGCTCATTCCGAATGTCAATGAAGACAAGTTGGGTAGCCATCAGAGTCTTGGCTCCTTGCACCACCTCGGGATGTTTTTCCTGTATCCTCAAGAGTTCCTTAAGAATCTGAAGTCTATTCTCACCGAAGATATTCCTGTATTCCTCAATGAGGGGAGGGTAGTTGATAAGGAAAGCGATGTTCTTCTCAGCATTCTCTTCAATCTTCATGTACATCAGGCCGGCAAGATAGGCCAAGTAGATCTTGTAGTTGATCTGCCCATCGATGACCTTCAGGATGACTGAGGTCCAGAAGTGTAGATAGAAGAAGATGAGGAAACCACGGATAATACCGCAGGAAAAGATCACCATGTACCAACAGATGTTTTTTGGAGTGTGGCTGACTAGGTTGAACACGTCGTAAATAAAATCCAAGAGCTTCAAGATGAGAATAAGGAATTCCGCCCAATTGATTTTTTGTTTAATATATCTGGTGGGTCCCATTACTGCCATCTGGACATACATCACTACAGATGGAGACAGATATTGGGAAGAAATATCCATTCTAGAAACCATAGAAGTTTGAAACATTCACATCCTAATGTTTTTATTTGCTGTATATAGATGGCGCATTATTGCTTTATAGCTAATAAAAATAAACTCATCTTCAGAAACCTGTTGGTTTATTTTGATCTATATTTAAGAGATTTCAATCAAGTAAATTGGGTTTATATGTACTTGACTCTGTCAAACTTTGGAAGCCATTCCTATTGTATCTATTTGGGCATAAACAGAGAAGTCTGCCTACTAATTATATATATATATACTAGCCGAATGACCCGGGCAACGCCCGGGTTTTACCCGATTAAATGTTTTTATTCAAATACTATTCGTTACAATTATAAATTGGAGTCGTGGATGTCACTCTTGTGAAACGTCCCGCTCCAAACTTTACATGTACATTAGGTCAGCTGGTATTACCCCCCAATTTCACCACTAGAGGCGCGAGCGAAAGAACAAATTTGCAAATAACACGACGGATATTCGGGATAGAGACCTGAAATTTTCACTAAGAGTTTTTCCAGATTCTACTTTATATACTGTTAAAATTTCAGTCAGAGATTAGTTACGTATTGTGGACGCGTGTATAGTTGACAAACATACATACATGCGCTGACTTTTATATATATAGGGATAATAATATAAATGAGTTTTAAAAATTGTAAAAAAAAAAAAAAATGTATCGGCCGGGAATCGAACCCGGGCCGCCCGCGTGGCAGGCGAGCATTCTACCACTGAACCACCGATGCTTATATGAAATGGCCCTATTTGGGTATTTATTCCATTCACAAAAGCAAACGATGGCAGAATTGTTGATGACTCTGATACTTGTATTTATAATTATGTTAGCATAATGAATTAGTCAGTATTCCCATGGTCTCCAGCGAAGGGGTGTGAATTGACTTTTTGAAAATATACATAACTAGCGGATGTGTACCCGGCTTCGCCCGGGTTTTATCCGAGTGAAAGTTTGCCTAACGAATATTATATATTATGAAGTATAATAAACAATGCTAAAGATTAGTTTTAATTATTAATCAAGATTGTGTGTGAATATGTGAGAAAGATGTAATATCGTTGTTGTTTTCTTGGCCGACTGTTTTACATATGGTGTTATCTTAAAATTGCTTGTTTTGAATATTTTTTAGATTGAGTTGAATGAATTGCTGATTTTTTTTTTTGTATTTATATATAAATAAAATTAACTCTGTTGAATTTTTTTTGTATTTTATCGATAACAGCAAAGTTATGTATTTTAAAGTTAGGAAAAATATTTTGATGTTAAGCAAAACCTGCTCCATCTCGTTTTACATAAATGTTGAAAATTTGGTCGAAATTGATGCATTGTAACGAAAGTTTTTAGCGAACACCACTTATGAAATTTCCATTTATATAGAAGATTATTAATATAGATATAATATAAATGAGTTTTTAAAATTGTTTAAAAAAAAAATGCATCGGCCGGGAATCGAACCCTGGCCGCCCGCGTGGCAGGCGAGCGTTCTACCACTGAACCACCGATGCTTTAAAAAAATCAAATTCATTTATCGTCGCGACCAGTGCTGCGCCCTAGCGGTAAAAGACTGGAACTAACGCTTTTTGGTTTTTTATTTTTTAAAAAAAGCACATTAACTTTTTTAGTTTTTTGAATAGCCTATATGTTAAACGAAATCTTCAGCTACCTACATGCGAAATTCCATAATGATTGAGTCAGTAGATTTTGCGTGATGCGATAACAACGATTTCGCATTTCATTTTTATATATATAAGGATAAGGATTATAAAGATAGAAGCTTCTATAGAAATAACTAAAATAAGCCGAAATAGCTCAGTTGGGAGAGCGTTAGACTGAAGATCTAAAGGTCCCTGGTTCGAGCACGGGTTTCGGCATCTTTTTTTTATTTTTAAATTTTTACTTACCGTAACTTGATACGTGATTTAACGTGACAGAATTGTGCATGACGCTGATAACTGTATATATTAATATATATAATTTAAACCTATTTCTACAGCCCTTATCCTGGACTGAGTAAAAATTGAACAGGACCTTAGCCAGAAGCTGCTAGGTGGACTTACGGTGAAGAAGACCTTAGCCAGAAGCCACTAGGTGAACTTACGGTGAAGAAGACCTTAGCCAGAAGCTGCTAGGTGAACTTACGGTGAAAAAGACCTTAGCCAGAAGATGCTAGGTGGACTTACAGTGAAAAAGACCTTAGCCAGAAGCCACTAGGTGAACTTACAGTGAAGAAGACCTTAGCCAGAAGCTGCTAGGTGAACTTACGGTGAAAAAGACCTTAGCCAGAAGCTGCTAGGTGAACTTACGGTGAAAAAGACCTTAGCCAGAAGCTGCTAGGTGGACTTACAGTGAAAAAGACCTTAGCCAGAAGCTGCTAGGTGAACTTACAGTGAAGAAGACCTTAGCCAGAAGCCACTAGGTGAACTTACAGTGAAGAAGACCTTAGCCAGAAGCTGCTAGGCGGACTTACAGTGAAGAAGACCTTAGCCAGAAGCCACTAGGTGAACTTACGGTGAAGAAGACCTTAGCCAGAAGCATGAGCATATTGAAGTGGACAGGAAGCCACCAGATCCAGGGGCGGACAGGCACGGCAGTTCCCTCCACCAAGAGGTTGAACACCCTGCGCAGGGTGAACTCCAGAACAAGGGTGGCTGCGTCCACCACACACAGCACTATCATGGTGACATAGAAACCCGTCTTCTTGGTGTGCTCCATCAGGAACCTCAGCCGCACCGGCACCATCAGTAGAGTCTTGGCCTCCAGCCGGCTCTTGCGGTCCTTTAGGCTGATTTGCATCTGCTCTGACACCAGGAGGTAGTGGCGTAGATGGTGTTGCTGCCACACGTGGTCAGAGATTATATTGTGGCTTCAACTAGGTAGGTAGGGCTTAGGAGACAACGAAGTTTCATGAAATGTCCAGTCATAGCTGACCAAATCAGGGAACAGAATATAAATGAATCAATATAATACATAGTGTCTGCTGAGAATGAAATTACCAGGCATTATTTCTAATAATCCCACAGAACACATTTCTATAACTAGTAAAATGAATTACAGTTACAGAAGCCTCTTTGCATAGTCCTGTTAAACGGCATCCCCAAGAATAAACCAAGTACAGACCATATAGGCAGAATGAACAATACAAGAGTTGCAGAGACCTGGTGGGGCTAAATGGTTGAAAAAACCTAGATATAAGATAAGCCTTCTCAAACCATCTTCAGTCTACCAATGGTAGAAATTCAACCTAGAGAAAATTAAAAGAAATAGAGCCAAATACAGTAGAACTTCCCTTTAGCGGACACCTCTCTAAAAAGGAGAGTTTTCATTTGCAAAATTCACATTTTTACTATTTAGCAACTCTACAGTAAGAGGAACACCTCTCCCTAAAGGACACTTTGGCTCCGCAACTAGGTGTCCTTTATAGGGAGGTTCTACTGTAATTCCATTCTCAACAGAGTTAAAACATAAGAGAAATCTCAAGTCAGGGAGATGAGTTTCTTTCATTTATGAGCCTTTGCACAAGCTTTTGGGCGAAAGATAGCCTTCTACAGATACAATATATCTTGTATGTATTCTACCTGTTGGAAGGAGACTTTACCGAAAGCTTGTACAATCGTTTAAAACTGGAAGAAACTCTTCTCTCCATCTTTTGATTTCTCTTCTATTAAACAAATAGGGAGATTATCATTGTCATAGATGATGATATTTGAAACATATAATTAAAAAATGATTAAATACACAGTGATTAGTAAGATTTTCTAAATAAAAATGTTGTCCAATGAAGGAAAAATAAGGAAAATGTTGGTATACAGAACACTACAAACTATAAGGCACAATTTGGATTATAGATTATAAACTCAAGGTAATAAGACCAAATCCAAATAAATAAATAGTATGTGACATTTCGGTAACAGCATTGTTACCATCTTCAGACAAAAGTAATTGTCTGCAGATGGTAACAATGCTGTTATCGAAACATCACACACTATTTATTTAGATTTGGTCTTATTGCCTTGTGTTTATACTACAAACAATAGTTTAGCATCTTCACAAGAGAGAGAAATAGCTAAAAACTTTACAACTATAAATTGTTGGTGTGGCATATGCAAATATGTAACATATGCAAATAGGAGTATTACCACTCTCTCAAGTTGGGATTGGACTTGCATACAGTTGATTACATTCTGGAGGACATTATACCTGCACACAACACATGGTCTCTTTGATCTTTATTCCAGACTGAAATGGAAAGTTAATACACTTAGTTAATAAATAACGGTTCCTTTTGTATTGTATCAATAATGTTTTTACAGCCTTATATATACACAGCAATTTTGGAAACATACAGTTAAACTTGTCTATAGAGCCCCCTCTTGGGACTCACCAAAATAGGGTGCTATAGAGAGGGGGTGCTATAGAGAGGTTTAACTGTATTTAAAAATGTAAAAATATTTTCTCACAATGGGTTTCTTTTTATTTTAAAATGCTAGCTTTCAAGCGATAATCGCTCTTTAACAGACTTAATAAAACATCGACTATATCTTACAAGAAATATTTACAAATACATATGCGCGCAGCAGCGTGGATATTTACAACTGAAATTTTAAAATATAAATGTAATTTAACAATGTTATGGAATATGTTTTTCACAATTTTATCATGAATAAATATTTGGAAATTAATTGTTATGTTAATGCCACCATATCAGGGATGGCCAAAAAGGAACGCAGGATCAAGAAGGATCTCTGTTCGACTGCTCTTTATTTACTTTTGTACATTTACGGAAAAATAAGCAAGTAACATTCAGATAGCATTGTCCAACAGCCGTCATCAACAACAGGGAGGACAACTCCACTCCTAACTGTCACCTAGCTTTTTCCTATTTGACTGGTCTTTTTGCCCCCCTCAGCTATTCTTGGTGTCCACACATGTGGTTTAACTGACACTGCTTGTCACCACGGCACTGTTGAAGATTTGTCGTCCTAAAAATATACAGTTAAACCTGTCTATAGCGCCCCACTAAATAGCGACTTCCTCTCTATAGTGCCCCATTTTAAATACATAATACGATGCGATTTACATTAAAAGTGACTTGTACATAGCACCCTATTTTGGTGAGTCCCAAGAGGGGGCGCTATAGACAGGTTTAACTGTATATACATATATAATGGGCAACCAGCCTTGTTTAAATATCAGAGAATCTTAATTAAAATGTTTATCCAAAATAAGCTAGTTATATATATATATATATATATATATATATATATATAAATGAATGTATGTGTGTCTGTCTGTCCTTTATGCCTGACCAAACCACTCATTGGAATGCCATGAAACTTTGGGAAGTTATTTAGTATAGTACTGGGAAGGTTTCTAGCAAATAAAATTTTTGAAATAACTTTTCGCCTAAAAATAATCAAGATAAATATTCTAATTTATCTGTTATAATTCAACAATCTTCCCTAAATATTATCATGATGATACGATGATTTTGTAATGTAGAAAATTAGGAAAGACAAAATTCAGGATGACACGGCAATTTATTTGAGACAAGAATAATGATACAATTCCAAGGCAAGATACTATTCCTTTAACTTCCAATTACCGAGGGAACCAATTAATATTGATTTTATTCAACTAATCGAGTATTTTTCAAGGGACCGGGATAAAATGTTCACTTTATTGAGAGATTCGTTAGACAAACCTTTACTCTGGTAAAACCCGGGCGAAGCCGGTACGTCCGCTAGTCATTAATAAATTTCATATGGATTGCTCCATAGTTTGTGTTCATACATGTGATTAAAATACCTCACCAAAAATCCTTTCTTTTATTATCCCTAGTAAACTGGTACAGAGTATGGTAATCCTGGTAGGTAGATAGTATTGGCAACTGCTTTTACTGTAAGTGCACCATGTCTACATATGTAGAAAGCATTTCGACTTTAGTGTCTTACAAAAATCACTTACAAAAATCCTCATCTAAAATTAGTAACCTTGACTAATTGAATCTAACTTGTTGTTTGGATCCCCCAGTGAGTCCCAATAATGACTTAGTAAATGGGGACATATGAAAATATGTATGCACAAGAGAATAGAAAGAAAGCAGAGTTACTTGGGGGAGCCGTCGTCACATTCTTCCAGGCTAGCCGAGAGTTTAATGAACACCTCCCGGCTAATCAGGTCCTGCTTGTAGTACCTCAGTAAGTCATGCTGTACCACATACACAACCTTCTGTCAACAAGGTGAGCCAAATGTGGATTGATGTTGTAATTCTCTCGCACTAAGATAGTTGAAATATTATGGCACACAGCTTGATTTTGTCCTCTCCAAGGCATTGGTGAGAAGTGTTGTTGTTTCTTATCCCCTTGTGTAAACATTACACAAATTCCATGAGTCCATATTTCTCGAGTTGTTTAATGATAAGCAGCTGCCTTTATCAAAGGTCCTGTTAGTGCATCTAATGCACGTCAAAATATGTGTTGAATAGGGGTGCAGTTTTCATTGATCATGGCACCATGATCCAGGCACACTTTGGTTGAAAATCTGACTTTGCCTGTAATTTGAGGCCATAATTTTATTCAAACCTAAAATAAAATTAAAAATGGAAAGTGATTAAAAAGATTAGTTTCTTCTTTCTTATATTCGCTCAATCATATCAGGGTATCAAGCTTGTAGAGCTAGAGATTTTTGATGGTGTCTGCTGGAGATGAGTAGAGCTCATCAAAGGAAATTTGACATCCATAATGATTGGGTGAAGTAGAATGGGTCTACTTTTGTCATTAAGACTGGGAGCACTACTAGGTGGCAGGCCGAGATTAGGTAAAATAATCTTCTTTCTTATCCACACTCAAGCATATCAGGGTATCAAGCCTGT